TGTATCAGGAATACTTTAATCTGCAACAGGGCAATCAGAGTCTTGAGGAKTACYATGCTARTAYGAGRAACATYYGTAATGAGTTGAATGTTTATCACCCCCTCACTTCTGATGTCAAAATTCAGCAACAATAGAGAGAACAACTTGATGTGACTCGATTTTTGGTGGGGCTGAAATATGAGTATGAACCAGTGCGGGCTCAGATACTAGGAGGGTCAGCTCTCCCTTCCTTAGAAGAGGTGTTTGCTCGATTTCGGAGGACTTCTATTGGATCTACTAAGAACTCTAATGTCTCAGATAGATAAGCCTTTGCAGTGTCAAGGGGCCATGGTGTTAGAGGTGGAGCTCGAGGAGCTCAGTCTAACCGTGGTGGTAGCAGTGGTCTGGTATATGGCTGGAGTGGTGGTGGTGGACTTACATATAACCGTGGTGGGGGTCGTACTGGAGGTAGAGATTCAGGGGGAGCCTGTGGTAGAGGACGTGGCTCGGGTTTGAGGAGATGTACTCATTGTGGTATGGATGGACATACCATTAATTATTGCTATGACTTGCATGGTCCACCCTCAACCTGGGCCAATCATGCCATGACTAGTGACACCAGTTTCAGATAGGAGAATCATTCAGCTGATTAGATGCCTCCTACATCCACAGATGATCCCGGGAAGGAGATGGTGAGTGTTCCCCGTGATGAGTATGAGAGTTTTGTCCAATCCACATCTCAGCAGAACGCGGCTACTTTCACACACTCAGGTATGACTTGTTTGGCATCCACACCCAATCCCTGGATTATTGACTCTGGAACCTCCGATCACATGACTGAAACTCCAGGTGTGTTTTCTTCCCTCTCTCATTGCTCAACATCACAATCTGTTACCCTTGCTAATGGTTCCACATCCTCCATTTGTGGTGTTGGTAATGTTGACCTGGACCCTGTATCCCTATCCTCAGTTTTGCATGTCCCTAAATTTCCGTTTAACCATATGTCTGTTAGTAAGCTGACCAAGTCACTTAATTGTTCTATTACCTTTTACCCTTCTATGTGTGTTTTTCAGGATCTCAAGGTGGGGATGAAGATTGGTGGAGGGCATGAAGCTGGTGGATTGTATTATCTTGACGGTGGGGGAAGAACATCAACAGCTCTCCAGTCATCTCTCTCTCCTTTCCAGTGGCACTGTCGATTTGGTCATCCTTCGTTGAAAGTTTTGAAATCTTTGGTTCATATGTGAATTAGTCTTCT